ATAAGAGGTGGAGAAATGGGCCCGGTAACTGTGGCAAAGCCAGAACTTGAAACACAGTCACAGCTCTCTCTGAGACACGACCCTGCCCATGCAAACTCGCTAGCCTTCCTGGTAGCAGATCCAAGTACCCAAAGCAGCTCCAGTGGGAAGTGGCAAATCACAGACGCCAGCAAGAAGTCAAGCCATCCCAGTGACCCTGTTAGCATACAGATCCCCAGGGCTGAACCCCGAGGAGTCAGCAATAAACGTCAGTGCTTTATAAGATTCCTGTGGTCCTAGTCACGGTCTGAAGATGCCCTTGGCTGCATAAACACACAACATGGTAGAAAAGCTTCCCGGAGGCACTGCAGATGCCACGCACAGTGCCCCAGATAAGCACTCCCACTGTTCCACTCCTGCACTCAGGATGCCCTGGGCACAAGCCTGCCTCCAGCATTCCCCGGCAGGGTGATGCCTGGCAAAACCTTTCTCTTTTTTAACACTTAAAGGTGCAGTTATGCTTGCTCAGCCTTGCTGGGAAGATCCAAAACCGTGAGGCATGCTGAGTCCTTGGCCCCGTGCCTGGCACACAGCAGTGGTTCTGGTTGTGATCTAGATCAATGTACATGCCACCCTACCCTTTCAACGACCTATGTTTCCCACACCCAGCTTTCCACACCCAGCAAAACTGAGGCAGACAGAGAGTGTCTCAGAAAGCTAAGGTATACCTTCGGGCCTAACCTCTCTGCCCTCTAGAGAGTTGTGGGAAGGCAGGGGAGTCCTGGAAAATTCTATTACCCAACACCTAATGATTCCAGTGGCCTCCAGGTGACCCTCAGGAGAACTTCTGCTTTATCCTGCCTTGTCCTCTCTAGAGTCATTCCTATCTCTCACAGAGCTAAAGCAAAGCAAGAAGCTTCTCACAAGCCACAGGCGGGGCCTGGCGTCGCACCACTTGTGGGCCATTCTCCCAAGAGAATCACTGCTCTCTTGCAGAGGGTAGTTGACTCTGTGCCTTGAAGCCCTGTGAGAGGCACTGCGGGAGGCAATATGGCTGCCCGCCGCTGCTGCCATAGGTTCAACAGGGAACCCTGTAAGGGAAAGAGGTGCGGAGGAAGCAGGCACTCTCCTCTGGCCAGAGCTGTTCCTAAGCAAGTAGCAGATTGCGAAGTAGCCTGAGGCGACGGCTGGCAGCAGGGCTCTGTGTTTCGTCCCCTGAGCTAACAGCTTTCCCACTAATGTCAGGCAAGAGGGAGGGTTCACACACCGGATCAAAGAGCTAGGACCCTAGTTGGGCAGAGGAGTCCTTGGTAGGGCTGGGATACCGAGATGGGGGTGAGAAAATAAAAATCTGTGATCTGGAGGGAACTCAGCCACTTCTTAACTGTATGACCTTCAGCAAGTCACTGAGTCTCTGAGCCTCAATATCATCCCTCTAGACAAACAGAGCACAGTGAAGATCAGCTTAGGTGTGCCCGTGTTGCCGACAGGACCCTCTGGACCTCAGGTCACCCCTCCAAAGAGGAAGAGGTTGAGTCCTTCTGATTGGAGATTGGATCTCCCTCCACCCCTCCTTCCTCCAAAAGATTTCCATGACACCCTTACTATCACCACAGTAACCTCAGGTATCAGATGTCAGGTCTGCTGTCCTTCCCAGTGTGGGTTCCCGCAGCAAGATGTGTGCCTGTCGCCATGGACCACTGGGGTGGAGGGTTTCCACTGGAAAGGGAAGGATCGTGCCCTGTGTCAGTCTTTCACTAAGGAAGCGGACCTAGGGAACCCTTTATGGAGCACTGGTCCAGGACTCCGGAACTGTGCAATTGCACATGGGATCTTTCCTGTCCTATCTGGAGAAGTCTCTCCTTAGTGGCCTCACCTCCTCAGGGGCACACGTCCGAGAGGCCTTCCCCAAGCACAAGAGTCTGTCACTGCCCATGGTCCCCAGTTTCTGCTGTGATAGCCCCTTCTGGGAAAGGAGAGGGGGGAGATTCCTGCCCCTCCTCCTTCACTAGGGCCCGGGCCACGGTGTCCAAGAGGATTAATCATTAATGGACTCACAGTTTGAGCAGAGTGCAGCAGCCAGCCTCCTCAAGCCCCACCCACCCCACTTTCGGGGGACTCTGGGGTCCGGGGAGGAGGGGCACCCAGAGCAGGGCCAGCAACTAGCCTTGAGCCTGCAGGACACAACGCCGGGGTAGCAGCTCTGCAGCATTTCCTACACCCCTCACTGGGCAAGCCCGAGATCCCAGTATGGCTACTGGGGTGGTGTAGGCAGGGTGCTCAGGTAGTAGGCTGAGGCAGGGCACAGCAGCTTGAGTGCTGCACCTCCCGACATACCTTGGCCCTTGGTTCTCCTTGGGCTCGGGGTGGCAGGGGTCGGCCCGGCCCCCGCCGCCGCCGGGGCGCTCACTGGGCGGCGGGGCGCTCTCGCCGGGGCCCCGCGCTCTGGCAGGCCTGGTCCATGCCCCCGCCCCGCCGCCGCAGCGGCTGCCGCACCGGCTCTCAACACTCTTGGCCAGGTGAGGCCAGCAGCCTGGCCCGGCCCCCGGCGCCCCGGCCAATGGGCGCCATGGCCCCCTCCCCCCCTCTTGTCCACTGCGCGCCTGCCCGAGAGGCACAGAAGCCGTATTCAGCTCCTTGGGGCGCAATATCGCGCCCCCGCCGCCGGCTCAACAAGGCCCATTTGTCTTCGATGGGCCAAGGGGTCCATTGTCCTGCCGCCAGGCTCAGAAGGGAATAGAGGGTGCCTGGGGCTTGGTGGTAGTGTTGGGGAGGGGAGCCTAAACTCAGAGGAAAGGCGGAAGGACTCGCTGCCAGCCTCTTCTGGAGAGCCCTGGAGGTCCTCAGGAGCATAGGTCTTCCTAGCTCTCCCTGTGAAAGCCAGGAACACATTTTTGGTAACCAAGGAAAGCAGGTGACGAAGAGCCAGGATCCTTGGGCAGACACAGGAAGGGGACTCCAAAGAGTCTTGTCACTTAACCGGTTCAGCTCGTAAGGATGGGCATCCTCAAGCGGGCTGGGCAAGTAGGAAGTGGGTGCTTGTCTAGGTGCAGGCTGTCCTTCATCTCAAAGCAGAACCAAGGATGGGAGCTAGTCTGAATTAGCTCCAGCTGTGGGCAGTGGAGAAGCAGCCGGCCACCCAGTGGAGCATGGGCCACGTCAGAGTCCCACTGCCCCCGACATTTCTAGGCAACTCTGGAATGGGGAAAATTCCACATGAGCCTGGCTGCCAGGCATTCTTCCATATCTTATGGGTTTGCCTTTTTCCATGTGTGCCCTAGATACATATATACCCATGCAGGCCTGAGTCATCTCCTAGGCTATAGGCTGAGATTTCAAAGTCCTAACCTTTTGTTCCTGCCTCTCCCAATCATGCCAGAGCCCCTTTACCCCACATATACAACCACCAGTTTGGGGAACCCTGGGTTCTTGGGTCCACAAGCCATTGCCTGCCAAAATGCTTACCTCCCTCATCAGCTGAGGCGTAGCCACTGTGGCATAATCGCTCTTCATTTGTAGAGCCAGTACAAAAGAGGCAGGCCAGGCCACCAGGTCCTTAGATTCAGGGAAGGCAGAGACCAGCCTACTCTGTTTTAGGGATCACAGCCTCTGGGAGTGGCTTCGGGAAGGGTGTCTTGGAAAGGACTGAATAACCAGAGACCTGGTCCTGTCGTGATGCACAGACAGTTCCAGGTAAGGGCTATCAGCAGACTTAGTTTGAGGGGGAAAGGTGGGACCCTGTAAGCAGGTCCACAAAGGTCACAAGTTGAGATACCAGCAAGTGGCCACATCTGGACGGAAGCTAAACCACACCTGCCCTTAGGCCTCACCCCTCACCTCTACTGGTTGGTTTTGAGTCAAATTGACACAAGCTGGTCATCAGAGAGGAAGGGGCCTCGGCTGAGGAAATGCCTCCATGAGATCTGCTGTAAGGCATTTTCTCAATTAGTGGTCAGTGGGGGAGGGGCCCAGATCACTGTGGGTGGTGCCAGCCCTGTGCTGGTGACCCTGGGTTCTGTAAGAAAGCAGGCTGAGGAAGTGAGGGGAAGCAAGCCAGTAAGCAGCACCCCTCCTCGGCCTCTGCATCAGCTCCTGCCTCCAGGATCCTGCCTTTTGAGTTCCTGTACTGACTTCCATCAATGATGAAAGGCAATATGGAAGTGTACGCCACATAAATCCTTTTCTCAACTTGCTTTTTTTGGTCATGGTGTTTCATCGCAGCAATAGAAAATTCTAAGACAAGTTGGTACTAGGAGTGGGGTACTGCTGTTTTGGGGAGGATTGTGGAAGGACTTTGGAACTTTTGCTAGAAAAGAGAGCTCAATGGGAAGTTCCTGAGGAGCTTGGCATGTTGAGAGCAGCACAGAGGATGGAGGCCTCAAGTTTCAGAGAAAAATTTAAAGACTCTATTAGGGCTATTTCCTATTTCAAATTGAGAATCTGCTGTTCTGATCAACTGGAGCTCAAGAGTCAGCCTCAATTAACAAGAGACCAGCACTACTGAAGAGAAACCTCTGTTAGTTGATGCTGGTTAACTAGAGCTAAGAAGTTAGCAGTGATTAAAAAAGACCAGAGCCTAGTGCTGACGGCACACACCTTTAATCCCAGCATTCAGGAGGCAGGCAATCTCTGCTGAGTTTGAGGCCAGCCTGGTCTACAGAGTTCTAGGACAGTCAGGGCTACACGGAGAAACTGTTTCGAAGACAAACCAAGACACCAACATCACTAAGGTGAAATCTTCTGGGGTTTCCTGAGAGCACAGAGAAGCTGTGTTCCAGAGGCAGCCATGGATTTGGTAATGTGGAAGTTTCCCAGGTGGTACTGGTTTTGAAGGCATGACGGGGTCGTGGAGAGCAGATGAGCCTTGACACTATGAGAGGCCTTTGAGGGGGCAGCTCAGTGGCTGCTGAAGATCCAGAACTGAAGGGGTCATGCAGAGTTGAGGCTTGGCACCAGGAACAGCCCAACTGCAGCAGTTGTGGAGATGTCAGTACAATGGGACTGCCACCAAGAATGGCCACTGCAGTGGAGTGGAGCTGGCTGGAGCCTTCAAGACAAGCTGTGCGTGCCACAGAGGGCAGAGTGGAGAAATGCTCCAAGCCCTGGGGGAGTCCAGAAGATGGTGAGTGGATCCCAGACATCAGATCCCTAGAATTTAGTTTTGCTTTGATTGTGACTATCTATGCCCTCATTTTTCCCTCTTAAAGAAAGTATTTTACTGGAGCTCACAATTGAAAGACTGCATTTTAAAAGATGGGCTATTTTAAAAGGACTGAAATTTTAATGTGCTTGAATTTGTAAAGATTGTGGGTTTTTTAAAAGTCATTTATGTTTTTAATGAGATCTTGGGGCTGAGTAAGAAAAGGAAGGGTTGTGTCTTAATATAAACTTTGTGTGTCAGGCTGACAAGGGGTCAGTTGGACTGGCTGGTTTTGTGTCCACTTGACACAAGCTAGAGTCATCAGAGAGGAAAGAGCCGCAGTTGAGGAAATGCCTCCATGAGATACAGCTGTAAGGCATTTTCTCAATTAGTGATCAATGAGTTATTGTGGGTGGTGCCACCCCTGGGCTGGTGGTCTTGCGTTAAGTAGGTTGAAAAAAGCATCAACCAAAGACCTTGCATAGAGGGGACCTAGACCCCCTGTTCAGTCTCCATGTGTGTTCTCTAATGAGAAAAGAGACAAGTCTCTGACATGAACTCAATTGCCTGCTTCCGTGATCATTTCCTGGTGGGGCAACCTAGCCAGCCCACACAGGAAGACTCCAGGCAGTCCTGATGGGACCTGATGGGCTAGGGTCAGACTGTAGGGAAGGAGGACTTCCCCTATCAATCAGTGGACTAGGGGAGAGGGATTGGGGAGGACGAAGGGAGAGGCAGGGACCAGCAGACAACAAGGGGCTACAAACAGAGGGGGACACAGTGAATAAATTGCAAATAATACTAATAATACAGCAGGCCGAGCAAGCCATGGGAAACAAGCCAGTAAGCAGCACTGCTCCATGTCCGCTGCCCCATTTGAGTTCCTGTCCTGACTTCTGTTAAGTGAAGAACAGCAATGTGATAATGTACACTGAACTAACCCTTTCCTCCTCAACTTGCTTTTTTTTTTTTTTCCATGGTGTTTTGTCGAAGCAATTAAAACCCTA